TGTTTGGCGGGACCAGGCTGGATTTGAACCCGCCACCTTAGGTGTATGTGGCTGGTGCCTTAGCCACTTGAGCCACAGGCGCCGAGCCTGAAGTCATATTTTTTCATTTTCTATTCAATAACTGATATATAGCATGATTTTTCTAATTTTAATACAAATTTAAGTAATTTGCTTGTTTTTACTAAGCAAACGCTTACTGAACACCTAACTGTAAATAAATGCCATGAGAAAATCACAAATTATACTCCAAAGAAAAATATATATCATTATTCAACTATGTGAATCATAATAACCAAGTTTATTTTTTTTTTCCTTGAGACAGAGTTTCACTTTGTCATCCTCAGTAGAGGGCCAGGGCATCATAGCTTATAGCAACCTGAAGCTCCTGGGCACAAGTGATCTTCTTGCCTCAGACTCCCAAGTAGCTCAGATTATAGGTGCCCGCCACAACACCCAGCTATTTGCTCAGGCTAGTCTCGAACTCCTGAGCTCAGGCAATTCACCCACCTTAGCCTCTGAGAGTGCTAGGATTATAAGCATGAGCCATTATGCCTGGCCCTAAGTTGTTTTACTATAAAAAGCTAGTGATCAACCTCCTGTAACACCTAACATCATAATCAAATTAATTCATACATCTGAAAACTTTACTGTGAGGTAATATTGTCAGAAAAAAAGAATTCTGTTATAGACATTCAGTGATCTGGATTCTGATACAAGCTGTGACTTTACCTCTCTGAGACTTTACTTATAAAGTAGGAATCAGATGATATTATCTAATTCATAGGATTATAAACATAATCCCTGTATACCTCCTTAACAAGAATGCTACAAGTCTCTAATGAATGACAAATACTATCAGGCAAATGAGGACAGAGTCTCACTTTATCACCCTCAGTAGAGTGCTGTGGCATCACAGCTCACAGCAACCTCCAATTCCTGGGCTTAGGTGATTCTCTTGCCTCAGCCTCCCAAGTAGCTGGGACTACAGGTGCCCGCCACAACACCCAGCTAGACTGCCTATATTTAATTATTCTAGAGAAGCTTGGGTTATATAAGAATTTAGGATTTGGCCAAAGACCCAAGGACATGGTAAAAGAAGAAATCCCATTTTTATAAAACTTACATTTTTAATCTTTTATTTTTTAACATGTCTAAAAATATGAAAAATAATTCCTGCTATTTTGAATAACTTACCGATGATATCTTGTTGCCTTTCAGATTGAGGACTTGCAAAGACCTTAACTTCTTCCCTAGCCATACGGGGATATGCTCAATTTCATTTCCTGCAAGGTTTAGCTTTTGCAGATTACACAAATTTTCTATGCCTTCAATTTTGCTGGAAACCAAAAAATTTAATTTAATTTAATAGGCACAATGATAGAGTCCCTCTATTGTATTTTTAGAATAAACAGCCTCGGTTCCATGTGGAATTCTTTTTATAATTGTAATTTATCAACTCTTTTTACAAATGAGAACAAAGAAAAGTGACTAAAATCAAATTTACCAAAACTTCTAAACTACCAACCCTACATTATTATGCCCAGGAATTCTACCCATCCTACTATCAGGCTTCAAGATTACGTAACACAGAAAAAAAGAGTATGCAATCTCATTGACTGTGGTGGAAAGTTCTAGAAGATAGCCAGCGGAAGAGATGGGAAATTTATCAGCACTGTGCTATGTGTTACAGTCCTGCCAAGAGAAGATGTTCTTAACTATTCCCTTAAGTCATCACAGAAAGATTAACTATTCTGGCAGGATAGGAAAGCCCCTAGAATAATATTGTGTTTGTAAGTATTTTAATTAGAATATTTAAACTAATAAAACACTTAATCACATACTGATGAATTTTGATTGATAAAATTTTCTCCAAATTACTTCCAATTTAATTCCCTGGTCAATTTTTGATACTGTGCAAATACTTCTAAGCTTCTCTCTAGACTGGCCAAATATTTCTAAGCTTCTCTATTTTCATTTTAATTTTGCTGAAACATTTTTATAGGGATTAATTCTCTTTTATACAAATTTTATATTAGGAGTTTGATTCATTAATTAGGTTTATATTAATTTTGTTTTTGTCTTATTAGAACTTCTGCTGTTAGTTATTTTGTTTTATTTTCTTGGTCATCATATTTACTAAGGGAGAACGCATGTTGATAATAAGATTTTCAAGATTTGATTCTTGCATTATTTGTCTACATCAAGTTTTCTACATGCAGTTTTAGCTGCTGTCAGTTCTAATGTGTTCATTTCTCAGAGTAATATTTATCATGAAATGGAAACAAGAATGAAAGTATAATTCTTGTATAACAGCAATGAGCAAAAAACATCAGAATAAAGACACAGGATCAAAATGGGTTAAAATATCTTTGGAATCAAAACAGCAGGGTTAAAACATTCTGCTTCATGTCATCATTCTTTATGTACTTAAGAACTTATGTATTTAAGTTGGTGAATCATAGACAATATCTGGGGAAACTTCTCATCAAAATAAAATTAATATAAACTTTGGTGTTCCAAAAACATATCTCCTTCTTTGGTAATGCTAGGTAAGATATTATTCTGTACTTTAGTAACACCAAAACATAATAATAGTTACCATAGGTGAAGGGCTACATTATCAGTGAATAAAGAGGTCAAAATACCTGCTGTCTCAAAGGATTCTTTCAGTAATGTGGGTAGAATTCATCTACCTTTTTAAGAAAGAAGACCCTACAATGTCACCTAAAAAAGTGTTTACTCACCTGATTTTGTTATATGATAAGTTGAGTTCACGTAATTTTAACAGTTTGTCCATCTTCTCAATCTTTCCAATTAGATTGTAACTGAGATTTAGTACTTCAAGTTTAATACATTTTTCCAAATTCTCAATATACTAATTGGAAACAAATAAATAAATACTTTACACAACAAATGCCTTGATATTAAAGCCCAGTATTTAAGTACGTGCATCAGGTACTATTTTAATCAGTCATCAGAAATAATAAACCATATTGCTTACTGGACAATCCTTTGGTGCACCTCTTCTTGACCAGAAGTAGCTCTCTTCAAGCCACCAAGCTCTCCTTTCCCCTCAGTGGACAACACCTCCTATATACTAAGAAGCTCAAGACTAGGAGTCCTCAAACTTTTTAAACAGGGAGCCAGTTCACTGTCCCTCAGACCATTGGAGGGCTGGACTGCAGGCCCCGGGACAAGTTGGCTGCTAAGCAGGACAGGCAGTGGCAGCAAAAACACCTGACAGGCTGGATAAATGTCCTAGGGAGGCCGCATGTGGTCCACGGGCCATAATTTGAGGACGCCTGGGTTAAAATATTTGCATTTGTTAGGTAAGATCCCTGTTGTAGTTGTGTCCTACACCGGGAGGTGTGCCATATACTTTGCATTGTACCCATTACGACATTTTGGATTTTTTTAGCTTTTGGAATATTTGCATCATGCTTACTAATTGAGCATCCCAAAAACAAAATCTGAAATCTGAAATGTTCCAATGAGCATTTCCTTTGAGTGTCATGTCACAAAGTTTTGGATTTGGGAGCACATCAGATATCAGATTATTGGATTAAGAATGCTACCTATGTTAGTAAGGCAATATATCTTCTACTACACCAACATATTCAAATTTTCTCTCCAAGATTACCATTCATTCATCCACTCCACAAATATTTATCAAACATTATTATGAGCCAAGAGCTATTCTCAGTACTGGAAATGAAGTAGTGAGTTAGGAAAATTGTTCTCATTCAAGGAGACAGATAATAAACAAGTAAATATGTAAGATTTTACAGTATTAACAAGTAAATAAAAACATCTTGTGACAAAATGCAAGACACTAAGAGGGCAAATCTGTCTGTTGGGTTCACTGCTATCGCACTGCTGCCTGGCATGTAATTGGTGCAAATAAATAGTTGTGGACTAAAAGAATGAGAAAACACAACCAAGGAGGGGGTAACTAATTGTGATTAGTAAGAAAAGGCCTCACAAAGGAAGTACACTGAGTTGAAACTTTAATAAGAAGCCAGCTGTATGAATATCTGGGGGCAGAAAATACCAGGCTGAGGAAAAAAAATCACAGAGGCCCTAAAAGAACAAACATGGGACTTGGGGCCTGTCGCTCAGTGAGTAGGGCACCTGCCACATGTACCGAGGCTGGCAACTGCAACAAAAAAATAGCTGGGTATTGTGGCAGGTGCCTGTAGTCCCAGCTACTTGGGAGGCTGAAGGCAAGAGAATCACTTAAGCCCAAGAGTTTGAGGTTGGTGTGAGCTGTGACACCACAGCACTCTACCAAGAATGACACAGTAAGACTCTGTCTCCAAAGGGGGGAAAAAAAAAAGAACACGGTGGGTTCAAGAAACAGAAGGAAAGACTCTTTAACTACCAAATCCAAATGACTGATAAGTTTCCTTCTGATTTGATATTTCTGTAGCATTTTATATCATCCTCTCCTGCCTGAAGTTCCCCCTCCTTTGGCTTCTACTGGATACTCCTGGATCTTCTGCTGTCCCAACAGCTTCCTCAAGCTTTTTCACCAAGTTGGCCCTCCCCTCACTCTATTTCTCCTCTTAAATCTAGGCATTTTTCATGCTAAGCTCTAAATTCCCAGAGATTTGTCTATTATTTGTATCTTCTCTCACAGTTTAATATAATGTCTGGCATAAAATAACCAACCACATAGTAACTACTTACTAATTTGATATTTCATTTTTGAAACTTTTAAATTCCAGCATATTTCCTTTTTTCATTTCAGAAGATCTGAATATATTCTAGCAAAAATTTCAAACAAAACATAAAAAGCTCTCTTCATCAACTCCCTATACCAACCCCTCTCTACCCAAATTCCTTGCTCCAAGGTAACCATTGTCAAGAGGTTGGTATATGTATGTGTGTGTATACAAAAAAAAAAAACCCTTTCTATTAATTTATATCCATATATCCACAGGGTAGGAGGGTTAATAAGGGCTCAGCCTTCATCACATTCCCTAAGAAGCAAACACACCACACAAAACATAATGATCACTTAAATGCTACAAATGTTTTTCGAAAGATGTAGGAATGTCAGGTTTCAGGTAGCCTGTGTCTTCACTTCTTGGGGTGCTCTTGGCTAAAGAATAACCAGACACCTCAAAGTAAGGCAAGCATGAAAAAAAAAGTTCTTTGAGCAAGAGAAAGAGCAAGGTAAAAGAAGATTTACAGAGCAAGATACCTTTGGCATAGACAGCAAATAGGCCTTCATTGTCATGAGAAAAAGCCACCTCTTTTCAAACTATAAACCTCATTAATTTTCTTTTTTAATTATCAGTTTTATCCAACATTTCTTTGACATTGATGAATTGAACGTATTTTCATTTTAACATTCAAAAGTACCTTTTGAACTTGCCTATTCATATACTTTCCACATTTTCCATTCTCTCTCTCTTAATATTGTCACATTCATTACAAATAATACCTGCCAGTTGCTTTTCTTTTAACTTTTTAAAAGATGTCTTTCATTAACCAAAACTTTCAAATCTTTGTGTAAACTAAATTTGTCAATTTTTGTGTGTGTGTGTGGCATTGTTTGCTTAGGAGAGCTTTTCTGCTCTAAGATGTTAAAAATATTCTCATATTATCCTTCCTAATAACTTTAATAGCATTATTGTTGATTGGTTTTCTTCTTTTGCTTTGTTTTCATTTAGCTCTTTATCCTTCTGAAATTAATCTTTGTGAAAAACATGGTAGGAATCAAAGTTTTATTTTTTCCAATTAAAGAAATTGTCTATGGGTGGCGCCTGTGGCTCAAAGGAGTAGGGTGCTGGCCAGAGGTCATGGGTTCAAATCCAGCCCCAGCCAAAAACTGCAAAAAAAAAAAAAAAAAAAGAAATTGTCTATTACAATGTGTTCATATATAATTTATGAATAAAGTAGTACTCACTCTAGAGTGCGATTAGCCAACTTTTCCTGTAAAAGGGCAGATAGTAAATGTTTTTGGCTTTGTGGGCCAGATAGTCCCAGTGTTAACAACTAAGCTCTGCTTCTTCTATAGCCATAGACAATATGTAAACAAATCAGTGGGGCTGTGTTCCAATAAAATTTGCTTATAAAAAAAGGTAGCAGGCCTATTTTGGCCTGCAAGCTATAGTTTGCCAATCTCTTACTTAGTCAAGAATGTATAGAATATTCATAATATGCAATTATGAATTTGCAGATGTCATATTTCCAATTTAGAACTTCCTTTTTTTTTTTTTGAGACAGAGCCTCAAGCTGTCCCCGTGGGTAGAGTGCCGTGGCATCACAGCTCACAGCAACCTCCAACTCCTGGGCTCAAGGGAGTCTCCTGCCTCAGCCTCCCAAGTAGCTGGGACTACAGTTGCCCGCCACAACACCCGGCTATTTTTTGGTTGCAGCCATCATTGTTGTTTGGTGGGCCTGGGCTGGATTCGAATCTGCCACCTTGGGTGTATGTGGCTGGCACCTTAGCCACCAGAGCCTCAGGCGCCAAGCCTGATTTAGAACTTTCACTGTAAACAATAAAAGGTGAGGGTTTTCTTTGTAGTTTTAGAGCCCAGAAAAATTAAAAATATAACTCAAAATTAAAAACAACATAACTCAAAAACTGCTGGTAACCTACCCTAAATTTCTTACCACCATCTTTAGAAAGTGAAAGGTTCAGAGATTTTACCAAGGCCAAATTGTCCTGTTTACTAAGTTTTTTAATGAGGGCCTCTGTAATATATCGAACTCCTACTCGTGAAACAGCTCCTAAAATTATAGAAACAAATCGTTATCAGTAAAAGAAGATACAAATATCACCAATAAAATCATTTTGAAGTTATATAACATGCTTTAAGCCATAAAAATGTAAAAAAAATGCTGGCCATTTTTAATCATAATGTTTTAATAATATTTTACTTTATAGCACTCCGTAATAACAATAGTGGTAATGATAATTACATACTATAAATATTATCTGTGGGCCAAGTTTTATGCTAAATGTTTTACATTTAAAACATTTTACTTGCAAAGCAGGCTTTTGAGACAGAAATTATTAATATCCTCATTTATAAAAAAAGTCATTTGTTCAACATCTTGCAACTAATACCAGAGATGCCAAAAAAAGTATATACATTTAAAGTGATATTATCTATGTATTAATTTTCAAAGTTGAATTGAATTATGGTAGCAATGTGTAGTATGGCATTTGCTCAAAAGATGGCATTAATCAAATGAATGCTAGCATCACCATGTGATAGTCAGGACAAAGAAAACAGCAGAACCACAGCTATCTTTAGAGGAGCATAAGGCCATTTTGAAGTGGTATTTGAAATTAAGGAACGTGGAAGCACAAGGACAATGGAACCTCTAATATGCCTTACAACTGCACATATTCTTAATAACTTTGAGATCCATGGTACTTGTATGTGATGTGTACAAGGGAAGAGCTGGAGGCCTCATACAGCAACAAGTCGTGCTTCTTCTGCTATGGTGTGGAACAGGTTACATACTTGCCATAGAAGTCTACCAAACAATGTGCCCATAAAATAGGAGTTAGGAGACATATACCACATTCTTTTTTTTTGAGACAGAGTCTGAAGCTGTCACCCTGGGTAGAGTGCTATAGCATCCCAGCTCACAGCAACCTCCATTTCCTGGGCTCAAGCAATTCTCCTGCCTCCACCTCCCAAGTAGCTGGGACTACAGGTGCCCGCCACAATGCCCAGCTATTTTTTGGTTGCAGCCTTCATTGTTGTTTGGCAGGCCCGGGGTGGATTTGAACCCGCCAGCTCAGGTGTATGTGGCTGGCTCCTTAGTTGCTTAAGCCATAGGCACCGAGCCTATACCACATTCTTAAAACAACAAAATGGAAAGCTTTTTGTTTTTTTTTTTTTGAGACAGAGTCTTACTATGTCACCCTTGGTAGAGTGCTGTGGGGTCACAGCTCACAGCAATCTCAAAGTCCTTGGGCTTAAGCAATTCTCTTGCCTCAGTTTCCCAAGAAGCTGGGATTACAGGTGCCTGCTACAATGCCTGGTTATTTTTTGGTTGTAGTTGTCATTGTTGTTTGGCAGGCCCGGGCTGGGTTTGAACCCTCCAGCTCAGGTGTGCGTGGCTGACACCCTAATGGCTGAGCTACAGACGCCAAGCCCAAAATGGAAAGTTTTCATCCCAAGATTATTACATGCACTAAGAAATGAGAGCTTACCTCAATGAGAATTTGCCAGGACAATGGATAGAATGAAGAGGTGCAGTTGAATTTTCCCACATTCTCCTGACTTAACATGCCTTGACTTCTACCAATGGGGGACATTAAAGGATGTGGTGTAATATAAAAAAAACAGCTACACTGGTGGTACTTTAGGAAGAAATTGAAATGGCATGTGTAGTGATATAAGTGGACATTTGGTCAACATTGCTCAAGCAATAGTTCACTATAATCAGAAGTGTCTGGACACTAATGGTAACCACTTTGACCACCTCTTGTAATTCCAGAAGTCAAATGTGATTTGTGTTCATCTTTTATAATCAGTATACATCGAGTGTTACAATTTTAATACAGTGTTTTCCTTTCTAAAAATGTATATACAATTTTTTGGCACCTTATATATAATGAGGTGCAAATCCTGTATAATGAAGACTTGAACCCAGGGAGATGAATACAAACCTTGCACTTTTAACCATATGTATCATTGAAGTTTTTAGCAATATTTTCATATTAGTTTTTTAACATAAACCAACTTTAGATTTTTTAAAATTCCAATCTAAAGTTCAGAAACACTAAAATTCTTAAAACTCTTCTTTTCCTATCTTTTAATTTTTTGTTCTTCTTTTAAATAGAGAGGATCTGAATATACAGAGATAAAGTACTAACTTGATGCATGGCCAATCTTGTCTTATGACCTTCCTTGGATGTTGCTGTCAAAGATTGTTAAAGCCAATCACACCTGTAATCCTAGCACTCTGGGAGGTCGAGGTGGGTGGATTGCCTGAGCTGAGGAGTTCAAGACCAGCCTGAACAAGATCCAAACCCTGTTTCTAAAAATAGTCGAGTCCTGTAGTCCCAGATACTTGGGAGTCTGAGGCAAGAGAATCGCTTAAGCCCAAGAGAGGTTGCTGTGAGCTGTGATGTCATAGCACTCTATTGAGGGTGACATAGGGAGTCTCAAAAAAATTATTAAATCCATATCACATTTTTTTTTTTTGAAACAGAGTCTTATTTTGGCCCTTTGGTAGAGTGCCAGGGCATCATAACTCACAGCAACCTCAAATTCTTGGGCTCAAGCAAGCCTCCCAAGTAGCTAGGACTATAGGCACCCACCACAATCTATTTTTAGAGACAGGGTCTTGCTCTGATTCATGCTGGTCTTGAACTTGTGAGTTTAGGCAATCCACCTGCCTCAGTCTTCCAAAGTGCTAGGATTACAGGCATGAGCCACTGCACCTGGCCTCATATTACATTTTATAAAAGTAGCCATAAAAAAAAAAAAGTAGTCATAAAAATAAAATTGCCTCTTGGTTCTTGCTTTATGAGTCAGAAAAAAATCCTGGGTTCAGACCTGGACTATAGGCCAAATATTCCCTATGATTATTTACAAGTTAATATTTTTTTCTTATATTGAGACAGAGACTCATTCTGTTGCTGGGATAGAGTACAATGGCATCATCATAGCTCACTGTAACCTCAAACTTCTGGGTCAAACTGTAACCTTGGCCTCCCTAGTAGCTGGCACTACAGGTGTGTGCTACCGCACCTGGCTAAATTTTTTTTTTTGAACTTTTTGCAGAGATGAGGTCTCACTGTTGCCCAGGCTAGTCTTGAACTTTTGGCCTCAAGTAATCCTACTGCCTTGGCCTCCCAAAGTTCTAGGATTATAGGTGTGAGCCCAGCTCATTACTTATAAGTTAATATTAAATTTATTTTTTGTTCAAAATAATATTTTTCTTTAATTTTGTTCTAGGAAAAAAATGACTAATATTCTAAAATATTAATCAAATTAATATTTGATCAATATTAATCAAAGATATTATAGCAAAGATATAGTATAAAAGATACTATATAGCAAAGATAAGGTATAAAACTCAATGCTATTAATGTTTATTAACAGAAACTGGTAAGGTCAAATAGAGTTTGATGGTTGTGTAAATGACTTAGTAAATAATAATGCACTTTTAAGACAAGATTTCTTGACTAATAGAATGCTTTTAAGAAAAAAATTAAAATGCTGGTGTAACATAATGTATGTCCCATAAGTGGAAATCAGTCCACTCATATATAGGTAGTTTGCTAATAAGTAGCCTGGCATAGCTGAAATGTGGATAATATTTTCATACTGAATTAAGGCACTCTGCTCTGAAGTGAACAGATCTACCTACCCTTCCCCTAACCAAGGAGGATAGCAAATTTTGGGTATAAGCTTTAAGGCACTCTCCTACCACAGGAAATATAGCTTCCTCTTTGTGGAAATTCCCCTCCCAATTTCTTTCAGACATCTTCACCTTCACTGAGAAGCCTCAGTCCTCCCACTGTCCTCACACAATTTCTGACTACAACAACAGATCAAGTTAGTACCAGAATAGATATTATATTTGGGCCAAACATGTAAAAGCTCAAAATTTTCCATCTCACCTTATGAGTATATGGTCAAATTATTAGATTTAAAAAGTAGTACCTTTATGGTCTTGGTTGTCCAAAGGCATATTGTCTTCATCTGTAATCTCAACTTGCTCACAATGCCGTTCTCCAGAATGAAAAGGCAAAGTCTCAGATCCAGTTAAAGGCGAAAGTGACCTAGATCTCATATTGGACGTAAGAGATGACGCACTAGGAGAGTGAGATGATAATGGCATCTTTGCACTGGAGAATATTTTTTGTTGAGGACCTTTCTTCATTTCAAGAGTAAAGCCTGGTACCCATCAACACCTGTGAGAGTTTTCAGTATATTTGACAAGATTAATTTTTTAAGAGCTATCAAAACTATTACATTTATTTCTATAGCTTTCAAAACCATTATACAACTAAACTCAGAGAACAGATGCTACGACACACACTACTCCGGGAGCAGACACTATTTCAAACATCACTGATTAGCTTGCCAGAGGTAAAAGAGACCTCCAGAGTCTAGTATTGATATGTGCTTCAATCAGAAGCATTACTTGTGATTTCTGTTCTCGGTTTATTGAATAAAACTAGTCACAATGTCCCTTCCACACACACAAGAGGGTCCTAGAATGCAGGAAGATGGACTATTTGGCAAGCAGCAGTTTTTAATACTGCTGAGCACTCTCTCTTTCCTGAAACAGTTTTTTCCCTTTGGTTTCTGGGATACCATATTCTCTTGGTATATCTTCCTGCCTTCCTGGCCACTCCTAGTCTCCTTTGCTGGCTTTTGTTCCTGTAAGCAGCCTAATTTAAATGTCAGAGCTCCATAAGGCTTCCCTCTAGTCTCTTTCTAATCTCATCTTGGACAATCTAATGCACACCCATGGTTCACAAAGCTCCATGTATATTGATATTTATATCTTCAATCCAACCTTTGTCTGAGCTCCAGACTCCAATTCCAACTGGCTACTTGGTATCTCATTAGCATTCTAAACTCAATCCAAATTGAATTTATTATTTATCCCTTTCCCCCTCACTCTCCTATTCCTCCCCCTCACTTTCCTATTCCCTAACTGGAAAATGGTGCTCGCTGGAATGAACCAGAAACCTTGGAGTTATTTTTGACACCCCCTCTGCCCTCTCCCAATACCCAGTCAGGAAGTGCTGTTAATTCTAACTCCCAAATACTTCTCGAATTAGTCTACTTTTTTTACTTCTACTCGCCTCCACCTCTAATCCAAACCTTCATCAAACTGCTATATAGCATCTAACTGATCTACAGTCTCTTTTGCCTTCTTCCATTATTACATTGCAGCCAGATAAACAGAGTCATCTATTTAAAAAATAAATCTCGCAGTCTGTGAAGAATGTAGTATTTACAAGGTCCCCCACGATCTGGCCTCACCTCTCCAGACTCAACATCTGTCATTCATTCCCTCAGTTGTGGACTCCAGTCACAGTGGCCTCCACACATAATTTCTTCTCCCTCAAATGCTTGATTCCATTCTTTATACCATGGTAATTTCTAGTCTTTCTTCAGAGATCAACTCAACTATGGCTTCCTCAGGAAAGTCTCTGGTATACGGCAGATGAAGTGAAGTCCCCAGTTCTAAACTTTCAATCAATTTCTATTTTTTCCTTGAATAATCACAGTTTGCAATTATACATCTATGTGGTTTTTACTTAATATTTGTCTCCCCTCTGAACTGTAAGCTCCATGAAAGCATCTCTGTTTTGTTTACCACTATCTCCCCAGTGCAGCCTGGTGCCGGGCACCTAGCAGAAACTCAAGAAATGTTGGTTGAATGAATGAATGGATGGATGGAATTGCCTTCTACTCATGCCTCCCCCTCACCCACCAATATATTAATTCTATCCCTGAAATATTTGGAAATTTATATCTCCCCATCTTCATAAATAATGCCCTAGATCAAACATTTATCATCTCTTAATTAGCTTGTGTTACTCACTGAACCAGTTTCCTTTTAAACCTCCTTTGTCTTCCCCTTAATCCATTCTCCATCTTTGACCCACTGACATCGTAAAAACGTAAAGAAGTCTGATGGTTCCACTGCCTATATGTCTAAACATATCAGCACCACACACAGGACTCATCACAATCTGGCCCCAACGTTCTGGCCTCATCTCTTACTCCTACCCACTACAAACCCTATACTCTAGTTATCTCTGTATCACTACCTAAATACATCATGGGTTTTTGCTCATGAAATTCCCTCTCTTTTAAATGTCATCCTCTTCTTTCTCTATACCAATAAAATGTCACTTTACTTGTGAAGACTTTCCGGAAATCTATTTCCTTTAGGTAGAGCCAATCCTGATTATCCCACTGAATATACCTCTACCAAAGAACTTATTCTACTATATAGTTTTTGCTTACCCAGAAAATATCCACAAATTGAAGCATAATCTCTAAATTCCCAGCATCACAATGGTATAGGTCATGAATACACCCATGAATTAAATAACTTACAACTAGGATTAAACCTGTTCAGAAAGCATACTTTAAAGTGTGTTCTGTCACACACACTCTGTATGTGTTTTAATGCAATATATCATAGACAAAATGCATAAATCATAAGTGTATAACTCTATGAATTTTTATACAGTGAACACAAACTATATAACTAGCATTGAGATCAAGAAACAGAATATGACCTGAACTTCAGAAACCTTAGCATGCTCCCTCTCAGTACTTACCCCTACACTTAGAAAATTACTATCCTGACTTCTGATGCTAGAGATTGTTGAGCTATTTTGAACTTTGAATAAGTGACATCACATAATAGCTTTTATATCTGCTTTCTTTTGTTAAACATTATGTTTCTAAAGTTCACTAACATTTGTCACAGCTAAAAACACTGGATGGCTTCAAACTTTGGTTCCTACTATTGCTTGCCAAAAAAATCAATTTTATTATAGTGTAGGTATTCCAGAAGAAAATAAGCATTAATTTATAAAAGGGACCTTGGTCAAATTTCTTTATTTTTCATTTAAAACATTTCTTGTATGAAAGAATGGTAAGGCTCTTAACTATTAAAGTTCAGAATAAATGACTTGATTAGCCACAGCACTAGCAATAGTAATGATGAGATTAAGTTTTCCTTCTCCCAAACTAATTGTAAGTCCAATAACACAACTAACTAATCTAGTACAATGTAAGCTCTATGAAAGTAGAGATACTGTTCACTGCAGTCTAGGCCTAGAGCAGAGCCTAGAAAATGGTAAATAAAATTAATACTTATTGAATGAATAGGTTATAAAGAACATGGCACTTAAAAATACTATTTTGTACTTCAACAGAAAATATATCTTCATGTAAGATTAGTCCTTAACACCAAGAGTCCTAATTTGCAAGTTAGTTGTATGCAAATTTTATTTTCATGATATATAGTTGCTCTTATAAGTATATTTAATCTAAAAACAGTGCAAAAATGATACATTTGACAAACTTCTAGACCAAAAAATTTTGTATGATGTATACATTTTGAGCACGGCTGCATTAACAATGATCTTATCTTTGCTTAATAACTTAATTTCCCCTATTTTCACTGCTAAAAATATGAAGATAAAACATAGATTTATTTTATTTTATTTTTGAGATAGAGTCTTACTCTGTTGCCCTGCGTAGAGTGCCGTGATATTATTATAGTTCATAGTAACCTCAAATTCTTGGGTTCAAGAGATCAGTAGAGATAGAGTCTCACTCTTGCTCAGCCTGGTTTCGAACTCCTAAGCTCAGACAATTTACCTACTTCAGCCTCCCAGAATGTTAGGATTATAGGCATGAGCCACTGTACTCAGCCTAATATGCTTACATTTTGAGCTATGTTAATACCAATGAGTCAAAAAGTTTAAAAAATTAAAAAGTTTTTAAAGTAAAAAAAGTTATAGAAAGCTAAGGTTAATTTACTATTGAAGAAAAAATATTTTTTATAAATTCAGTATACTCTAGGCGTATACTATTGGTAAGGTCAACAGTGGTGTTCAGTAATGTCTTAGGCCTTCGCATTCACATACCACTCACTCACTAACCAGAAAAGCAACTTCTAGTCTTAAAAATTCCATTCATGTTAGGTGTCCTATAAAAGTATATCATTTCTTATCTTTTATGCTGTATTTTTACTGTACTTTTTATATGTTTAAATACACAAATACTTACTATTATCTTACAACTGCTTATAATATCAAGTAAAATAATGTTCTATATAAGTTTGTAGCCTTGGAGCAATAGGCTATACTATATAGCTTAGGTGTGTAGTAGGCTATACTATCTAGCCAGATTTGTGTAATTATGCTCTATGTTTGCACAATGATAAAACTGCCTACCAATGCATTTTTCAGAGTGTATCCTATTGTTAAGGGACAAATGATTGTGTTAAATTAAACCAAATTTGGCCTGAGAATGCCTTAATATTTTGAGTCTACTCAATGAACTGCAACAAATCTCATAGGTAAACTAACCAAAAGCCTAACTAAGGAGTATGCATTTGTTACAAATAGCTGAGTCTCAGAAAACCACAAGCTAAGCTTCAGTCACAGTCAGTCAAGCGATCAGACCATGTTCAAATAAGGTAAACACTGCTGTAACCAATCAAGCTGTTTCTATACCTCACTTCCCTTTTATGTCCACAAATATTCCTGACCACATTGCAGAATGGAGTTCTCTGATCTATTCTGGTTATGAGGCTGTCTAATTTGTGAATTGTTCTTTGCTTAATTAAACTCTGTAAATTTAATTTGTTGAAAGTTTTCCTTTGAAAACTTCTTCCTGTTTCCTATCACATAGCTCTTAAAACTTTAGGCTCAGGTGGGTGCCTGTAGCTCAAGTGGCTTAGGCACCAGCCACATACACCAGAGCTGGCAGGTTCAAATCCAGCCCAGGCCTACCAAACAACAATGACAACTACAACCAAAAAATAGCCATGCATTGTGGCAAGTGCCTGTAGTCCCAGCTACTTGGGACTACTTGGGCAAGAGAATTGCTTAAGCCCAGGAGCTGGAGGTTGCTGTGAGCTGTGATGCCACAGCACTCTACCCAGCTGTCTCACAAAAAAATTTATAGTTGCCAAAATATGGAAACAGCCTAAATGCCCACCAACCCAGGAATGGATTAACAAGCTGTGGTATATGTATACTATGGAATGCTATTCAGCCATTAAAAAAAATGGAGACTTTACAGCCTTTGTATAACTTGGATGGAAGTGGAACACATTATTCTTAGTAAAGCATCACAAGAATGGAGAAGCATTAATCCTATGTACTCAATTTTGATATGAGGGCAATGACAATTAATGACATGG